CAATACATGGCATTTCCAAGATTGCCTTGGGTGTCAACATCCATGTTGTATAGGAGGAGAAGGGAGAGAAGAGCCTGCTTCTTCTTTGCTGCTCACATTACAGCCATGGACAGGAACCAGCCACACGGCCACACTTAGGTGCAAGGGTGGCTGGGAAAGAATGCGTCATGATGTGTGGGGGACAGTGGCCATCTCTGCCAAGCTGGCAATGTCACCTAGGGTGGCCACAATCTCAATTTGCTCAGAATTCTCCAGTTGGAGCACTGAAAGCCCCATGTCCTGGGAAACCCCCTCAGTCCCAGGCAAACGGGGACAGTTGTCATCCTATTAGTCAAAAATGAATTAACACTTTAAAATCATAATTTTTGGACAAAATTGGTTTCATATGAAATCAAGCATTTTGCAGATACAAAAACCTGAGTAAGTGATTGGAAAATTTTAAGAATTTATGAAAACAGTGACCAGCAAGTAAAAGAGTTACATTTGGCTGAAAGTAAATTGGAAATAAAATATTATAAAAAAAAAAAACTTCCAAAGCTATTGAAAATCTTCAATATGTGAGTACACGTGGACACAAGGAGTGGAACAACAGATACCAGGACTTCCTTGAGGGTGGAGCTGGGAGGAGGGTGAGGATGGAAAAACTCTTCATCGGGTGCTATGCTCACTACCTGGGTGACGAAATCAGTTGTACACCAAACCCCAGGGATTCACAAATTTGCCCATGTAACAAGCCTGCACATGTACCCCCTGAACTAAAATAAAAGTTGGAAGAAAAAAAATCTTCAATATGCGAGAAAATGAGCAAAAATGCTTAATAACACACACACACACAAAATTGCTGAACTGCCCATCTAGTAAAATAAAACCATCAATATCTGGAAAAAAAAACAGTACTATTCACTTTCCCCAAGACAATGTGTTATTTTAAATGACGTGTTTCAGCCAGTGTTTCCACCCATTTGTTTGATGCCCCCTCACCCCGTCCCTGCTCTGTGTTGACTGTAGAGTGGGTCCTGATTCTCTGAGAAGCCCTCCCAAACCAACCCACCCACAGGTGACCACTACCTGACCTCCTCCTCAGCTCCTTTTTGTTTTAACATCTTTAGTCAGCTTTGCCTCTCAAGGTCTCGTTCTCCTCACCTGCATTATCATTTCTCTCAAGCACAAAGGCAAAGTGTTTAAGTGTTTCCTTGGGGTGTACTCTCCTTCCCCACCCTCCAAAATGTCTCATTCCAAAAAGCAACACAAAGCAAAGAAAGTCTGAGAAGATCTAGTTCCCACATTCTCCCCAGAAGGAAGAGATGCTTCATTGAATACCCTGTTTCCCCCAACCCCTCTACACACACACACACACACACACACACACACACACACACACACACACACATATCAGAATTAATCTCTTCCTCCTGGCCGGGTGCGGTGGCTCACACCTGCAATCCCAGCACTTTGGGAGGCCAAGGCGGACGGATCACGAAGTCAGGAGATGGAGACCATCCTGGCTAACATGGTGAAACCCCGTCTCTACTAAATATACAAAATATTAGCCGGGCGAGGTGGCGGGCACCTGTAGTCCCAGCTACTCGGGAGGCTGAGGCAGGAGAATGGCGTGAACCCGGGAGGCGGAGCTTACAGTGAGCCGAGATCGTGCCCATGGACTCAAGCCTGGGTGACAGAGTGAGACTCTGTCTCAAAAAAAAACAACAACAACAACAAACAAACAAACAAAAAATCTCCCTCCCAGATGCTTATACTCCCTTTGGGCTTCCTCTGAGTGCCTTTCATGGGCTGCCGGGAGCATGTGACTTCCCCTTTGCTACTCCTGAACTCCTTAAGGAATTCCACGTTGCACCTTACCCCTCTCAGGAGCTCAAAATGCATTGCATTGTGTTGAAGTTTGACTTGAAAATGCTAGATGAGGAATGGATCCACAAACTTTAGTCTCATGATAAAATAAAATTCTCTAGGGAGGTTGGAACAGCTATAGAATTTGCATTTAAACAATTTGGCAATTTCCGTGAGAAATTTGAGCTCTAGAAGGCCACATGGACAAATCCATAAATTCTGGCTCTCAGCTTCAGCTGCTGGGAACCATAAAATTTTCATTCTTGTTCGTGGCCTTTCAGTTTTCAGAGCACTGACTCCAGCTAAATTTCCCGGGCACTGGGGTTTATCTGCTTAGGTCATTGCTGATTTAAAGAAAGTGAGTGGGGCTGAACCAGCTTTTGCTTTTCACAGCTGTGAACCACAGCTGTGAATCGCCAGGGTGCTGAAATAACAGTACGGTACGCTAATCCAATCTGTGCTTTTCCTGGGGGCTGTCATTACTGCAAAATGAGGTGAGCTGGGTGGATGAAAAGCTCTAAGGTGGCTACAACACTGTACAGTTAGAAGTGATGCAAAACCATGTGTGGGGCTTCATGAAGGGTTGTGATCAGAGGAGAAGGTAGCTGGGGACCCAGGGGCTATTCTACTGTGACCACAATATGTGTTATACATACACACACACAGATATACACACACACACACTATAACCTCTATACATACTAATATACCTACTATATACAGTGGTATGTGTATATATCAGTAATTACTTTGGCTACTACTGTAGTTAACTCCCTGCTGTATTGTCAATCTGTCCAGTGTTTGGCTCCCCTATTCCTACCACACTGGCCTCTTTCAGCACCTTGAGTGTGTCATGCTGCTCCCAGGCCAAATCGTATAGACAGGCCCCTTTCTTAAAGCCCATCTCGCCATGATGGGAGACAAGCCCCGCTTACAATACCAGGTGCCATAGTGATTGCTGGAGTGGTATCTCCATTACAAGCCCTTTTTGGTATATCAATGAATCTCACTGTTGTTGACTGAATTGTTTCCCTCCGAAATTCATATGTCACCCTCAGCACCTCAAAGTATGACTGTATTTGGAGATAGAGCCTTTAAAGAGGTGATGAAGTGAAAATGAGGTCATTAGGCTGGGGCCTAATCCAACATGACCAGTATCCTTATAAGAAGAGGAGATTAGGACAGGAGACAGGTACAGGGGAAAAGACCATGTGAGGACCCATTGAGAAGCCAGTCATCTAAAAGCCAGGGAGAGGGGCCTCAGAAGAAACCAACCCTGCTGATCAATCCACCTTGATCTTAGACTTCTAGCCTCCAGAACTGTGAGAAAATAAATTTCTGTTGTTTAAACCACCCCATCTATGGTATTTTGTTATGGCAGTCCAAGCAGACTAAGTAAGACGCTCATATAACATGGAACAGAATCCTCTCAAGACCTCTACTTGCACACAGCATTCCATGGCCCCAGCTTCCTACACTTGGCTCCACTGGGCTGAGGGACACTCTGCTGTTTTACCTTGGGCCAGCTAATCGGCCCAGGCAGATAATCCAGACTGGTTAATCTCCGGTACCTGGCAGCCCACTTCTGTTCAGTGACCAAATATTAAGAGGTAGGGGTTAATTGAGGCTCCCTTAATCCATGCTGACTGCCTGTCTCTGTGTCTACATGGTACCGAAGGTTAAAAAGTATTAAGAACCTTAACCATGAACTTGAAGTTCCAGGGTTACAGACTTGATGCCCAATCCTATCCTCAAACATAATACTTGCTTTCATCCCTGGAGCCAACTCATGGATCTGAAGTTTCTCAAAGAGAAAAGCTTGTCATAAGACTGGTCAGCTGTCTCATATCAAGGCCTTTTATGGGGATCAATCAATGATTATTCATCAGTTACCCCGGGCACTGTGGGAATTTCAAGGAAATATTATACTTGGCTCCTGTCCTCAACATGGTGACTGTATAGTTGGGATTGATGTGGTTTAAGATCTTCAAAAGTTAAACAAAAATAAAGGAGCTGAGTAACTAAGCAAAGATCAGAACTGAAGCCTGATTCTGTCTCTGGTTAGCTGTGTGATCAAAGCAAATTCTTCAACCTCTGAGTCTCAGGGGCCTTCCTTGGCCCAATGAGGATAAGAGAACCTTTCTCACAGGGTTATGGTGAGAATGAAATAAAACACCATACATAAGAAGTACCCAGGGCAGAAATGGTGGCTCACACCTATAATCCCAGTGCTTTGGGAAGCTGAAGTGGAGCATCACCTGAGGCCAAGAGTTCAAGATCAGCCTGGGCAACATAGCAAGACTCCGTATCTACAAAATAATTTTTAAATATAGCATGGCATGGTTGTGAGTCCCTGTAGTCTCAGCTACTCCGGAGGCCCAAGGGGAAGAATCTCTTGAGCCCAAGAGTTCAAGGTTACAGTGAGCTATGATTGCACTATTGCATTCCAGCCTGGGTGATAGATCAACATCCTGTCTCTAAAAACAAAATTAAAAAAAAAAAAGTGTTCAACTAAGTGTTTGGCACCTAGTAAGTGCTTCGTTTTAAAAAAAGAAAATCAACAAGTGCAGGCCGTGTATGCAACAGCAGTGAGTGGGGGATGGTCACAGGACCTTGTTCCTAGTATTCGCTCAGTATTTACTGGGAACTTAGTATGTGCTGGAAACCTAGCTCTGTGTTGGGAACACAAGAAAGACCTGGTCACAAGCTGCTCCCAGTCCGGTGGAGGCAGGCAGGTAAACAAGCAATAAGAGACCAGTACTGAGTAGGACTTGGGGTTTGTATAATCCTGACTCAGCAAGCCATTTACTGAAGAGGCTAAAATGAGCCCATGAGGCCAGGGATCATTTTGACACACATGCTCAGAAGGGTGTATTGAGGTTCCCACCTCACTTTGCAGTTTGGTGTTTTGTCTATAATGGCACCTTGGGGGTCTAATCTGGGCAAGGGCAAGACCTGAATTCAGGTGAAGATAGGTTGTAGTTTTCTGTGGTCCATCTGGATTGAGGTAGGGTCCCAAGCAGACCCAAGGGATTTCTGGAGTCATAGTCCAGCTCCTTGACAAGGGCTAGTGTACTAGTTGGTGTCCTCCAAACAGAACCAATAGGAGATATCTATCTATCTGTCTATCTATCTATACACACACACCCCTATTGAGAGACAGAGATTAAGAGATTTATTATAAGCTACTGGCTCACACAATTATGGAGGCTAAGTCACAAGATCTGCTGTCTGGAAGCTGGAGACCCAGGAAAGCCAGCAGTGTCGTTTGAAGGGCTGAGAGTGGGAGAGCTGATGGTATCGATTTTGGTCCAAATCTGAAGACCTGAGAAACAGGAGCACCGCAGGCTGGAGATCAATGTCCCAGCCCGAGCAGTCAGATGAAGAGCAACTTCAACCTTCCTCCATCTTTTTATGATTCAGGCTCACGATGCATTGGATGATACACACCCACGGTGGGGAGGGCCATCTGCTTTATGCAGTTCAACAGTTCCAATGCTAATCCCTCCTGGAGATGCCCTCACAGACACACCCAGAAAGAATGTTGAACCAGGTGTCTGGATATCTCATGCCCCAGGCAAGTTGACACACAAAATTAACCATCACAGCTAGGTAAACTGTCATCACTTAGACCAAGCACAGCCAGAATCCAAGGATAGTCACTATCTCAGAGAGGGGCCTGTACCTGAGATGGAAGCTTCAGAAACCCTAGGAACAAGGAGCGTGTAACAGGAGGAGGGGAGGCATTAAAGACAGTGGTAGTTACTACTTAGTGGAGAATTTATTCTATGCCAAGTGCCTTCCAGGGGTCATCTCTCCTGAGCCTCACAGCAACCTCAAGGGGTAAGTCTTTATTACCCCTGTTTTACAGATGAGGAATCAGAGGCTTGGAGAAGTTAGGAAGCAACCCAAGATCTCATAGCTAGAGAGATCAGCAACCCAGCCCAGGCCCGATTGTGAAGTTCACATCTTTAACCTCTCCACCCCACTGCCTACAGGCGAAGCCCCTGGCATTCAGCAAACAAGGGCTCCGTCCAGCAACGCTCTCAGGATAACTAGAGCAAGACTAACTCAATTCCTTACCCACGGTGGAAGATAGATTCTTTCTGTATTTACTGACCTGGTCAGCACTGGCTTCTGAGCCAGGGAGGCAGAGTTCACAGGTGCCTTGCTTCAGTTACTTCTGCTGAGGAGGGCTGGGGGAGATAGCGGTTAAGACTAACATTAATAATGGTAAGAAGTGAAAAATTCAGGGCCTACATTTCCTCCATTCAAATCTATAAAATAAACATTCGTATGGCAAACTGTGTTTTCTACTTCCTACCTGGATGCTTTGATAAACAAACTCTAAATTGTCTTCTTTTTCTCATGTTTAGGAATTTTCCAGTGCTTCACAGTCATTCTGATCATTCTTAATGATATGGTGAACTCTGAGTAGAAATGGCTTATGATTCTTCCTGCATGTCATCATCCATGTAGATTTCATGAAGAGTTTTTAGCTGGAAGAAGCAAGCCAGAGAATGCATCTCGTAGTACCAGTCACTAGAAATGTTTATTTCATAAGGAGAAGTGTAATGTTCACACCTATGACACCAGTTGAAGTGGGCTTCCTGCCAGGGGACAGCCAACAATGACCAACACAGTAGATGTGAGGATGTCCCGTATCCAGATACCAGATCTAGCCCCTATCTTTGGTACCAGAGGGAGGGACCCAGGCCCTCCCCTCAGTCATTGTGACTAGACTCCACTGGGACCTGCATTTGAGGGACTGTCCAAACCCCAGCAAGAAGGAAATCAAGGCTTAGGCCATGCTGGGGTTTCAGGCACAGGCACAGGGCGTGGGTATAGATAGAGCTAGCCCATAGCGGCACTGGAGTCAATTGATGGCCAGTGCAGGGCAGCATGGCAGGACTCAACACCCAATTCCAGAGATAAGACAGCAGATCTGCAGCAGAGTCTGGACGGCATGGAGTAAGCCAGGTGTGCCTGGAACAATGGCCAGAGGAGACAGGTGCATGGGCCAGGCTCTTTACAGCAACACCCTCACTGCCCACATGAGGCTCCAGGCTGGAGAAGAGAGGCCTGTGAGGAAAGCCCCCTTGTTTACACACATCCCAAAGCAGCTCCCTGGCTCTCCCAGCAGGGCTGGACATTGCGGCCGCTTTGCAGCAATCCTTGGTGTTCCTTGGCTGGTAGAGACATTGCCCCACCTCTGCCTTCATCTTCTCGTAGCCTGCCCCCATGTACTATCCCTGAGTTTCCCCTTCTTATGAGGACACCAGCCATATGGGATTAGGGTCAGCCCCAGTGACCTCATCTTAACTTGACCACATCTGCAAAGACCCTGTTTCCAAATAAGAGCACATACGGAGGTGCGAGGGGTTAGGACCTCAACATATCTTTTCACGGGGGGCGATACAGTTTAAGCCATAACCCCCCTCTTTACCATGCCTTTGAGCAATTGTTGTTTCTCAAACCCAGCTCCCATTAGGTATTGAAAAATACCCATGTCTCTATCGCATCCGCAGAGATTCTGACTCAGTTGAGCTTGGATGGGGCCCAGGTATCAGTAGTTTCTAAACGTTCCTCCAGGGGACCCAAAAGCACAGCAGGTTTGTGTACCTCCATCCTGGGGGTGAAACAAGGTGAGCAGCCAGAGACGGCAGGGCAGAGTCACCAGCGGGAGAACTGAGCCCATGCTGGCAGGAGCTAGCAGCCTTGGGGAGAGCACTTGGATTAAAATCATCAGCTCTTTGGAGCAATATTAAATGATGGCTCTCAGTATCTTGGGATGAGGGAGTCCAGGGCTTTTTGGGCTTTCGAATCACTAAATAAAAAAGGCATAACTAATCTTTCTCTCCATGAAGATCCATTTGCCTGGGCCAACCCTGAGGAGAGTCCTGGTGTTTTTAGAGCATACAATTGCCTGCCAAGCTAAAAAGCCAAGGGTTTTAAGTCAAGCTGAATATTACAGAGAAGACTGAGGCTGGCTAACCTTGCTGCAAGGTAAAACAGGAGATCACAGCCATATGTCATCCAAGCAAGAGAAAAAGCAATGAAAATCTACACTCATGTGGCAAGCTCTTTCAACAGTCAGAGGCCTGATTATGTGCCAGTCAAAATAATTTTGCTCTATTTTTAAACACTGTTGACATGAAAACTGAATTAATAGGGGCTCAAATTTGAAGGGAGAAAAAGGCACCAAAATTCATAATAAACTGACAAGCTAATGAATGTATCTGAACAGAGGAAGGAAACCATAGAAACAGATTGGAAATCATGTGGATTTCATTCACATGAGGGAGAAAGCAATTGAAATATTCTCGTGCAAAATAATTAAATTTCTAATGCACCCAGAATGCAAGTTGTTCCAGCTCCCTGCTGAGTCCCATGGGAGATGCTTAACATTGCCTCCTGACCAATAAGAATGTCTAAAATGCATTCTGACAATGTTTTAGAAGAAAGAAAAGACACACATGCAATTGGATCATTGTCACTGAGCTTCCGTGGGCCTGAGCTTACAAGACCCTCAAATTCAGGTCCCAGTGGAGTCTAGTCACACCGACTGAGGGGTGGGCACTGTGGTGAGGATCGGGCCCACCCTGGCCTTTTCTTTCTCCCTGTGCCCTCCATCCCAAGCTCCAGCCTGGGCAGGTTCATATTATACCCTGGGAATAACCAGGCCCCAGGGATGCTAAAGCCAGGATGTCTAGCCCATGTCAGAGCGGGTGGGTGGCACAAGACTTTAGCTTCCCTTCCATCATACCCCAGAGGCAGCTGCCAGCCTGGCCCCTGCTGAAAGCCACCTCCATGTCCAAGCCGAGGTGAGCAGGTGGTCTTAGAAGAATCACAAATTTTATAAGACTGAGAATGTAGATGTAATTTGGCTAAATCAACTTTTAGACAAGGTTATTCCAGAAGTACCTGAAATTAGCTCTAAAAGATATATTATTTTTGTTTTACAAATTCACGTTGGCTGGTATTAGTTAATATTATTTTGGTTACAAATAACAAAAACTCACTTAATGAGGGAAAAAAGAACTTTTTGGAAGGAGAATCTCAGAGAATTGGAAGGAGAGTTGAATAACTGGGGTTCAGAAAGGAATCCGTGACAGCTTGGGGCCCATAGTAGGAGACTCAGGTACTTCGCCCACTCCCAGCCTTTGGGTTTCTTACTTCTAATCAAGAGAGAAAAGCCTGTAAGGCAGTGTGGGCCAGGTGCTGTCTCCTGGCCAATTATCTAGGCCAGGGTTGCTGTGTAACAAGGTACAAACCTGGCTACCAGGGCCTGCCCCTGTCGATCTGAGCAGGCAATGGAAGGGCCTCTGCAGTTACCTCAACTGCTGTCTACCAGCCAGTAGGGGCTGGGAGAAAGCTGAGCGTGCCATATGCATTTATGCCCTTGGTCATGCCTGAGTTCTCTGCCTGGTGTGTGCCCTTGCCTCCCCACCCACTGCCAATCCTTCGCAGCAACTCCCGGGTGAACCCTGGTCCTGTCCCTCCAAGTCAGAACGAAGCGATTCTCCTTGAGGCTCCCGCAGGCCTTGCTTCTGCCCCTCCTGAGCACTAAGGACAGCCCTGTCTCACCCTTCTACATGCTCTTCTGCAGGCTGTCCTGTCCCTTTAGATTTACCCCCAACCCAGTCTCCACCTGCTCCATCCCACATGCAGCTCTGACGAGGGCACTCTACAGATCAGACACTTGAGGGATGGGATGCACTTTCCCTCTAAGAAAATAAGACCCCTCTCCCACCAAGCCCTTGCCTTGTCTAACATCCCCTCCCCTCCTGGAAACCGTTTCTTCCCAGCACTTGCTCTGCTGACATTAGGCACCCCTGCTCTAGGGCCCCAGGCATGGCTCCAACAGCACACTCGCCACATGATGGAAATGCAGTCTCCCTCCCGCTCAGACTTGATGCTACATGTGATTGCTTGATTTTTAAAACTCACTTGCACTTAGCCTAAGGCCTTCGCCCAAAATCTGTGCTGAAAAGGTAATAATTTTGGATGAACGGATGAATGAATTAATATATGCATGAGTGAATTAATATTTCTTGTTATAGTTAACTGATTTCAGGCTCTCTTCTCCACAAAGATGCTAAGTTTTCCAGATCAGACATGGTGTCTGAGTCAAATTCATTTTCAGTTTATACATACTAAGGAGTCCAGCAGTGCTTGTTCCTGTCCCCTTTCCACACGACTCCCTTTGTTGTGCCTTCAGCCCTGGAGCACTCCATAAATATTAGATGAAAGGATACTCTTCTGAGATTCTGTGACTGGTGCAGATGTGGCTTGTGTCCTTGAGGATAGGTCTGGGCTGGGAGCCCTTGCCTAATGCCAGATAGAAACAGCCTACGTGCTAGTATTAAAACTCCACAGTCATTCAGCTGGAGATTTTCCCTTAAGTCACAGTCATAGGTTCAGGAAATCCTTGATCACAACTTACCCAGGGAGGTGTTCGAATGTTCCCTCCCTTACCCCATACGGAGCAAGAACTGAGACTCAGGAGTCAGGGAACTGGGCCAGAGTCTCACCCTCTGCAGGACTTTGTCCGCACCTCCAGTTACTGTTCTCATCGCACCTGTCCTTTCCCTGCCATAACAGTAATTACATTGCTCTCTACACTATGATTCATGTGCTGACTATATTCCCACAGGACAGTGACTCCCTGTGCGGACAGGGATTATGCGCATCCTCTTCCCTGCCAACTCTCAGCACCATGCCTGGTACATGGAGATACTCAGGAAATATCTGTTTAATAAGCGAAAAAGAAGGAAGGAAAGACAGAAAGGCACAATGAGGGCAGAGGATGGACAGACCAACGGAGAGACAGAGGGGCAGAGAGAAGGCAGGCAAGAAGGAAGGAAGGAAATTTTTCTTACCTCAGTTTCCTCATCTGTGAAAATGAGCCAACAATTTCTGTCTCCCAGGGTTGCTAGGATGGTTAAATACATTGACTATTTTCTCCTTCTTCTATCTTCCTGTAACCGTTGTATGCACTATAATTACAAAACTTAACACAGATATTTGTTTGCACATCTGTCTCGCTGTTAAACTGTGAGCTTCTCTAGGCACGGGCTGTTTCTTCTTTCACTGGGTAAGCCCTGCATCAGCTGCTGGCACCCGGCACACAGTAAGCTCTTAGCACCACCTGTGTGCTTCCTGCCTTCTCCAGAGTACTGAGGCCTGCCAGGCACTCGCCCCAGGGGACCTGGCTGAGGCAGCCAACCCAGATGTCCACCCAGCACCCACCCTCCCACCGTGCCCCCACCAGCCCAGCTCCGTAGCCTCGGCTGCCTCCCTTAATGAACAGAGATGAACTGAATACCCTGCCCAGGCCTGCAGAGGGGCGCGCAATAGGAGAAGCAAAATGTGAGACCAGTGGGGAATCAGAACAGTGTTGTTGTTGTGGTAAGAACAAAGTGCCAGGACTCATGGGCCCACCTGCTATTTTGCATAAATTTGCATCCCAGACTCAGCAAGTTCTTCTCAAGCTTATTGTGCTGTCAAAGCACCCTTCACTGGTGGGCGTGGCCAGCCTCACTCTCACCCGGGGATTTCAGACCAGAGGGCCCTGCGGCTACCTCCAGTGCTTGGCTCACTCAGCCCTGACGCCCAGTGCTGTGGCTGTGGCCGTCCCTAGTAGGTGGAGGACTTCCCAGAACCGGCAGTGAGTTATGTTTCTCCAGGTTTACCTGGAGAAACCTTCCTATTGATGGCAGGTTTCGCCCTTGTTCAAACAAGTTTGCATTCCCAGCTTTTACAACAAGTAACAGCAGGATCGATTGGTCCCCCAGGCTTCAGGGGCATGGAGAAGGATCCGGAGGTTTCAGAAACTGAGATTCACCACCTGCACCATCCTTGCTATGATGGTTAATTTTATGTGCCAACTTTGCTGGACCATGAGGTGACCAGAGAGTTGGTCAGACATTTACTCTGAGTGTGTCTGTGAAGGTGTTTCTGGATGAGATGAACGTTTGAATTGGTTGATTATGGAAAGCAGACTGCCCTCCTGCATGTGGGTGGCCCTCCTCTCCTTTGGAAATCCTGAATAGAATAAAAGTTTGAGTAGGAGGGAACTTCAGCCTGAGTGCCTTGAGTTGGGACACTGAGATATTGGTGGTTTTCTGCCTTTGGACTCAAACTGAAACATTGGCTCTCTTCTCGGTCTCAAGACTGACATCCTTCAGACTGGAACTGCACCATTGGCTCTCCTTGGTCTCCAGCTGGCTGACTGCAGGTCTTGGGACTTCTCAGCCTACATAATCATATGAATCATATGATCCAATTCCTTCTCTCTCTCTCTCTCTCTCTCTCTCTCTCTCTCTAGCTCTCACTCTCTCTTCTGTGCTGTGTGTGTGTGTGTGTGCGCGCGCGCGCGTGGGTTGGTTCTATTTCTACGGAGAGCCATCTGTAATACACTTGCTGGGGAGAACATAGTGTGGTTATGGACAACAGGCTCAGGCCTGCCTTCCTGCCTTTCTGCATTCTCCTGAGGGTGCCACCACCCCACTGCCACCAGAGTCAGTGCTAGAGCACAGACACATGCATACCTTTGCACACACATACTTGTCCCCAGCCCTTCCCCCTCAACTCAAATTTCTTTCTTCCTCTGAAAGGGACAGCTTTCCAACAATACCCAACAAATATCACTGGATGAGGGGAATTTTAAGGACTTGTGGTTTTTCTCCTTTATATTGTTCTACTTTGTTCAAATATTTTTCTTTTTTTTTTTATATGATGTTTGTTTGTTGAGACAGAGTTTGACTTTGTGCCCAGGTTGGAGTGCAGTGATGCGATTTCGACTCACTGTAACCTCCGCCTCCTGGGTTCAAGTAATTCTTGTGCCTCAGGCTTACGAGTATCTGGGACTACAGGCATGCAGCACCACGCCCAGCTAATGTTCATATTTTTGGTAGAGACGGGGGTTTCTCCATGTTGGCCAGGCTGGTCTCAAACTCTTGGCCTTAAGTGATTCCTCCAACGCTGCCTCCCAAAGTATTGAGATTAAAGGCGTGAGCCACTGCACCCAGTCAAAAATATTTTTCAAATGACCACAAGGAACATTTACCTGACAGGATCGTTATAAAGATTAAATGAGATAATACTTGTAAAAGGCTTTGTGCAGCATTTCTCAATAAAAGTAGGCTCTTATTTTAGAAATCTAACTAAAAATAATAATACAGTTATGCACTGCCCAATAACATTTCAGTCAATGACAGACCACATACACGACAGTAGTCCTATGAGATTGTAATGGAGTTGAAACACTCCCGGCATCTAGTGATGTCATAGCCATCATAACATCACAGCATAACTCATTACTCTCATGTTTGTAGTAGTGCTGGTGTAAGCCAATCTGCTGTGCTGCCAGTCATATAAAAGTATAGCACATGCAATTATGAACAGTATGTAATACTTGATAATAAATTACTCTATTTCTAGTTTATGTATTTACTATACTGTACTTTTCATCCTTATTTTAGAGTGTACTCCTTCTACTCATGAAGAAAACAAGTTAGCCAGGTATAGCGGCCCATGCCTGTAGTCCCAGCCAGTCATGAGGCGGGAAGATCACTTGAGCCCAGGAAATGGAGGCCAATTTGGGTAATCTGGACAAGATACTGTCTCTACAAAAAGAAAACGTTTTTAAAGTCTATAAAACAGCCTTTGTCAGGTCCTTGAGGAGGTATCCAGAGGAAGGCATTGTTGTGATAGGAGGTGACAGCTCCATGCATGTTGTGGCCCCTGAAGACCTTCCAGTGGGACGAGACGTGGAGGAGGAAGACAGTGATATTGATGATCCTGACCCTGTGTAGGCTAAGGCTAATTGCAGGTGTTTATATCTTATATTTTTACAAAAATAATTTAGAGAGTAAAAAAAAATTTAAATAGAAAAAAGCATGTAGAATAAGGACATAAAGAAAATATGTTTGTATAGCTCTACAATGTATTTGTGTTTTAAACTAAGTGTTATTGCAAAAGAGTCAAAAGTAAAACAAAATTTAAGTTTATATAGTCAAAAAATTACAGGAAGCTAAAGTTAATTTATTATTGAAGATAGAAAAATATTTTCTAAATGGAGTGTAGCCTACGGGTACAGTGTTTACAAAGTCTACAGTAGTGTACAGTAATGTCTTAGGCCGTCACATTCCTTCGCCACTCACTCACTGACTCACCCAGAGTAAATTCCAGCCCTGCAAGCTCCATGCATGGTAAGTGCCCTGTACAGGTGCACCATTTTAAAATCTTTTATGCTGTATTTTTATTATGCCTTTTCTATGTTCATATTTGTTTAGGCACACAAATACTTCCCGTTGGGTTACAATTGTGTACAGCATTCAGTAGAGTAGCATGCTGTTCAGGTTTGTAGCGTAGGAGCAATAGGCTACACCATCTAGCCTGGGTGTAGAGTAGGCTCTACCATCTCGGTTTGTGTAAGTGCACTTTGTGAAGTTTGCACAATGATGAAATTGCCTAACAGTGCATTTCTCAGAACTTATCCTTGTTAAAGTGATGCATGATAGTATAAGTTTAAAGAACTTCAGGATTTACAAAGAACTTTCATATACATGATTTCACTTAAACACAAACTTGAGGCACACTTTTTATTTCTGGTTTACAGATTAGGAAACTGAGGCCCAAAGACATTAAAAAGACAGGGCCCAGGCAATTCAGCAAGGAGCAATGTGGCAGGGTCGGGATTAAGTTGTGGGACATGATGGGGCTCCTGCTCACTGACTTGACTTGTGGGGCCCCAGTGCAAATCCCCTGCTCCGTCAGCTCCTGCCACCTTAGTGGCACCACAGCGCACACCTGAGTCTCTCTGAAAAAGAAGCCCAGCATTCCCTGGCACTTTTCCCTGACTCTGGGCTCCCAGTTAACTCCTGAGTTTAGAAACCAGGCATTAGTTCCCCTAATCCCTACAAGCCCCTCCCACTCTGTGGAATCTGGATAAACCCCAGGCCTGAGAGATGCAGGAGGGAGGCACCTTCCCCAGTGTGACTGGCAGGATGCAAAGCCCCAGGGCTAGCATGGGACAGGAGGCTGCCTCTGGCAGGCAGGCAGGCAACCATCTCACAGCTGCCCCACCCGGCTGCTGGGCCAGTCCCCTTGAGCCTGGGATGAGGAGCCACGAATCCCCACTTTAACATGAATTCACCCAGGGCAAAGCTTCCTAAGTCTTTATTTTTTTCTGATTTGTACAATGGTTCAAATATCTGCTGTTTTCTTATCTCACAGGGAAAAAGGTTTTGAGTAAAAAATAAGATCTATGTGATACTGTAAACTCCTTGGCATGGAGAGTGGGATGATAAAGTGTCTGTTAAAAAGGCTACTGTCCCTTTCTTTGATTGATTCATTCATTTGTTCAATAACAAAGAATTAAGCACCTTCCATATGCCAGACTCTATTCTCAGAATTGGGAATACAGCTATGAACAAGAAAAAACTCCCCTCATCCTCATGGAGTATAATGTCCAGAAAATTCAAACCCCAAGCCACCAACAGTCAGTACAGTCAGAGCTCCATTATTCCTCTGAGTCTTTTCTACAGCATTTTTTCAATGGAGTGTTCCCAAATGAAAGCAGTGCTGCCCTGCTTCTAGGATGACAAGCCCGGTGTATTGGAAAATACAAATTAATCTCAATACACATTGAAACAAATAATAGGTACCAAGGGTAGTTCACTATCTAGTCTGTGATATGCAAAGTGAATTTTTGTAAAGGATATCTCATCCTACATTTTAACAGGCATAAATAAAAACCTGTTTGCTGTGCTTAAAACTGGTAAACAAGCTTTTCCACCAAAAAGATTCCTTTGCTTATAAACATGTTTTTCTCAAAAGTAGTTAAAATTATAAACGTGTTTACCCCATTCCCAATAAACATATGGCTACCTCCTTCAAAAGTGATAAACAGCTCTACCCCAAAGTCATAAACATGTTTTGGACTGTACAGAAAATTTATGGCATAAATTGGTAAGTTGTGATATAACTTGGAAACCACATATATAGGCAATGATGTAGTGGCTTAGGTAATTTTGGAGTACAACCAATATGGTAGATCCAACCACAAACCATTAAACTATGAGCAAGTTCAGAGTTTCCAGGCTCTGCGGTTAACACAGAGACCCGCTGCCAGACTGTGTGAGTGTTGATAACCCCCTACATCTTCCCGGTGTGTGCTGAGCTGGCTGCAGTTCACCACATGCCACCCATAAGGGA